AGCTAGACTGCAGAGGCAGGGTGGCATATAATAATACCTTTTTAAGTGGTATACTTTACCCTCAGTGACTATCATTCAGTAGCACTTTATATACAAATGTGGGTGTTTTGTACAATTTTTAAAATAACACTTTGAAAATGCAGAATAATAACTAGCTATTTAATCTAAAACCATAGAAAATGTACAAACCCAATTCCAAAAAAAGTTGGGAAAGTATGTGAAATGCAAATAAATACAGAAAGCAGTGATCTTCAAATCCACTTGGACCTGTATGTAAATGAAAGCAAGACATATTCAACATTTTATCTTATCAACTTCATTGTTTTTTGTAAATATATGCTCATTCTAAAATTTGATGCTGGCAACACTTACAAAAACAAGTCGAGATGGGGAAATTTATGGGTTGAGGCTCTACACTTGCTGCAAAGGTCAGCAAATAGTCCAACCTTTTAATAAAAAATAATGTTCTGTAACAAGAATTTGCAAGGATTTTAGGTATTTTAGATGCAGGGAATCAGTAAAGGAATCTCTGCAAGGCCAAAAACCACGACTGAATGCCTGTGATCTTTGATCCCTCGCACAGCACTGCATTAAAAACTTGCATGCTTTTATGATGGTTATCACTACATAGACTTGGGAATATTTTGATAAACAGTTGTCAATAGACAGTGTTTGCTACTGCATCCACAAATGCAAGTTAAAACTGCACAGTTAAGACTGTACTATGCACAGTGGAAGCCATATGTCAACAACCAGAAACGCTGCCGACTTCTCTGGGCTCAAGCTCATCTGAAATGGACTGATGCTTTGTGGTCTGATGAGTCAACCTTTCAGACTGCTTATGGAAATAATGGACATTGTGTTCACAAAGTTAAGGAGTGTGAAGTACCATCCAGACTGTTATCAGCGTAAAGTTCAAAAGTCAACATCTGTCATGGTATGGAGGGGTGCATTAGTGGGCAACTTGCACATCTATGAAAGAAACATTAACACTGAAAGATACATATATACACTATGGGGCAAAATATCCTGCCTTTTAGACAACGTCTTTTTCAGGGATATCCATGTTTATTTCAACATGACAACACCAAACCACATTCTGCATGTGTGACAAACAGCATGGCTGTGTAATCAAAGAATACGGGTACTAGACTGGCCTGCATGTCTCCTATTAAAAACATGTGGTGAATTATGAAGGGTAAACAGCTGAAGACCTGTGTGAAAAATTCTGCTTCCAAACAGGATCAGTTTGTGTCTTCAGACCTCAAGCATTTATTAAGTGCTGTTAAAAATAAAAGATGTAACACAGCAAACATGCTCTTTTTGCAACGTGTTGTAGGCATCGTATTGGGAATGAGCATATATTTACAAAAAAAACTAAGTTCATACAGTAAAACATCAAATAATATATGTTTTGTATTGTTTTCATTTATTATAGGTCAATCAGAAATTACTAATCACTGCTTTTTTGGTTGTAAATGAAGCATAACTCGCTGGAAAATGAAAGAGCAGGGTCTCATACTTCATAAGCTTTTTAACAACAAGAAGTACAGTTTGCAGCTCGTTTACATTATTCTTTTTGCATGAATGTAAGAGACTTCCTAAGTTAAAAAAAAGCCCAAACATTTCTTTTTATTTAAATGACTGAGTTTGGTCTAAGATGAACAAAAGCAAATCCTCTATTTCTACCAGCATGAGAAGACAGTTAGCACTTAAGTGTGTGAGGAAAAAAACAAATATTGCACCATTGTGCAATTTGGAAAACATGCATATTCAGAGGCAGGGTGGGATATAATGATACCTTTTTAAGGGCCATGTTTTGCTCTCACTGACAATCACTAAGTAGCATTTTATATACAAATGTGGGTGCTTTGCCCAATGTTTAAAATAACATTAAAATAACAAAATTCAGAGTAATAACTAGCAATTTAATATCAAACCATAGAAAATGTACCAAGTAACAGGTCAATAAAATCTATGCCCTTTTTTACTGAGGAAAAAAAAAGCCAAGTGAATATCGTGCAACAGTGACTAATATTATTACATTTAGAAGTTTATTCATGTTGATCTATTACTTCTAAAAACAAATTATTTTGTTTTTATTTATTTAAATTTGTTTTACCATTCCACCAATACTTAAAAAAACTGAGATGTTCAGACTTAGTTAATATGAAATTGTGGCCCCATACAAAGGGTTCTATGTAGTACCAAAATAATATAACCAAAATAATTTTAACAACAGTCAAAGCCATTTTGTTGCTACACAGAACCATTTAAACATGTTTCTATATCATCGCTGTTGGAACAAGACCTCCATAACAGTAATTTTACAACAGAAGGAAAAAAAAACAACAAAAAAACAATTCTTAATGTGCAACAAATTTCAATACAATGCAAATGGAAACGGGAGTTTTAAATAAGGCAGATTTTTGCACACCACCCACAATATATAAACACTGCCTTTATTAAAGAATCTACGTAGAACTCCTTTTCTCCAAGGGTGTAGAGAAACTTACAGACTCAGTTTTCTTAACAGTAGTAGGAACCAGGGGTGTTTCTACATATCATTCATAAGTTTTACATACAACTTAGGTTGAAGTCATTAAAACTCATATTTATCCCCTCCACAAATTCCATGTCAGCAAACTATAGTTTTAGCAAGTTGTTTAGGAAATCTACTTTGTACATGACACAAACAGTTCTTCCAACAAATGTTTACAAACAGATTATTTCACTTATATATATCACTATATCAAAACTCTAGTGGGTCAGAAATTTACATACGCCAAGTTGATGGTGCCTTTAAATAGCTTGGAAAATTCCAGAAAACAATATGATGGCTTTAGTAGCTTCTGATAGGCTAATTGACATCATTTTAGTTAATTGGAGGCGTACTTGTGGCAGAATTTGAAAGCCTACTTTCAAGGCCTTCTTGACTCTTTGACATCCTGTGAAAACTGAAAGAAATCAGCCAAGACATCAGAAAAAGAACTGTGGAACAGCACAAGTCTGGTACATCCTTGGGAGTAATTTCCAAACGCCTGAAGGTACCTTAAACAATAATATACGAGTTTAAACACCATGGGGCCACGCAATCATCATAAAGTTCAGGAAGGGGACGAGTTCTGTCTCCTAGAGATGAGCGTACTTTGGTGCGAAAAATATAAATCAATTCAAGAACAACAGTAAACGACCATGTGAAGATACTGAAAGAAACGTACAAAAGTATCTGTATGAAACAAAAATGGAACTGTGTGGTCATAATGACCACCGTTATGTAACGATGAAAAAGGGAAGGCACCATCCCACCCATGAAGTATGGAGGTGGCAGGATCATGTTGTGCGGGTGCTTTGCTGAACTTAAAACAGATGGCATTATGAGGAAGTAAAATTATGTGGAGATATTGAAGCAACATCAAGACATCAGCCAGCAAATTAAAGCTTGGGTGCAAATGAGTCCTCTAAATGGACAATGACCTCAAACATACTTCCAAAGTTGTGGCGAAATGGCTTAAGAGCAACAAAATGAAAGTAATGGAGTCTCAATCCCACAGAAAATTTATGGGCAGAACTGAAAAAGCGTGTGCGAGCGAGGAGGCCTACAAACCTGACTCAGTCACACCAGTTCTGTCAGGAGGAATGGGTCAAAATTCCAGCAACTTATTGTGAGAAGCTTGCGGAAGGCTACTATGACCCAAGTTAAACAATTTACAAGCAAGTCTACCAAATACCACCATGTGTATGCAAACTTCTGAGCCACTGGGAATATGATGAAAGACATAAAAGCTGAAATAAATCATATATATACATACATACACACACCAATCAGGCATAACAGCCTTGTTTCTATGCTCATTGTCCATTTTATCAGCTCCACTTACTACATAGATGCACTTTGTAGTTCTACAGTTACAGACTGTAGTCCATCTGTTTCTCTGCATACTTTGTTAGCCCCCTTTTACCCTGTTCTTCAGTGGTCAGGAGCCCCATGGACCCTCACAGAGCAGGTACTATTTGGGTGGTGGATCATTTTCAGCACTGCAGTAACACTGACGTGGTGGTCTGTTAGTGTGTTGTGCTGGTCCGAGTGGATCAGACACAGCAGTGCTGTAACTGTCTGTAATAGTAAGTAGAGTTGATAAAATGGACAATGAGCGTAGAAACAAGGAGGTGGTCATAATTATGCCTGATCGATGTGCGTATGTATATATATGATTTATTTCAGCTTTTTTATATATATATATATATATATATATATATATATATATATTACACACACCCACATTTTGACCAGGTCATTATCTCAAACCAAACTTTATCTCAAATCTCAAAGCAATGTCTCAGTCATCACTCATAACCCTTTAATGTAATAAGGGGCATTAAACATTTCAGAAAGTTTCTCTGGAATGATACCTTTCACATCAAATCACTCTGAATGACACCCTAATCTAATTATGTGGAAATGGAGAAAGAACTGAATTGCCTTAAGAGGCAATGTTATATATAGTTTAGTTGTAGTGATAATACTGTAGTGTTTTTCCTCCTGACTCTTAATGCTACTTCTTTCGATTTTAATTTTAAAAAACGTACATACAGCAGTTTTAACATACTGGAAAGAAATAAAACAAAAAAAATACAAAGTATGCTGTAACTTTTGCAGAGGCCAGATTTTATGTTTTGTTTTAAATAAACAGCAATTGTGCACTGAAATGTGCAGACGTGTGTTCTCTGTAGAGGATGTTTTAACTTATTTTCACCTAGACAATCGACTGCAGCAGCTTAATGCTCCAATTTGTTTAACTTTACATGGATGTGCACTTAAGAAATGAATCGTGCGGGCTTTCGGCGTAGCCCGAAGGAGAGAACGGAAACTACAGAGCGGATTCCCACAGCAACAACATGAAAACAGCGATGCAGAACAAAGCTTGGCCACAAAACAGCAGAAGAACCTGAAAGCACACAAATGAACATGTGCCACGTCTCAGCTTCAGCACACTTACCTGGCATTTCCCTGCCAAAAGCTGACCCTGCATACATACACACACACACATAGGCCAGGAAAACACTGTTGTTAAGGTTGCTTTCCTACGCAGATTAAGCCTAGCCTTGAAATAAAAACACCAGGGTTCACAATGGAATCACCACTGATAGGGCAATGCATCCCAAGACTAGGCTTACTCTGTTTAAAGGAATAGTTTGGAGAAAAAAAACATTTACAGTTTTCCCTCAGGGGAAATTCCCCATGTAGTCAATCAGCCAAGACGTGTCCAATGTCTGAAGTTTGCTTCTATAGTTTTGCACTGTAAAAAAAAACTGTCAAGTACTGTAAAACTGAATGGTCAATACACGTTTTTTTTAAAAAAGAAGAATAAATGCGTGCAAATAGACTACACGTATACTGTATTTCAATTTGTGTACTTTAATGGTTGTTACTGCGATTAGAAAAGCAAAGTTCATGGAAAAACTAAGATGGCTTAGTTGTGCACAAACTGCATGGTTGTGCTGACTTGATTTCAGTTCTTCTTTTAAATCATGACACACGCTTAGCCACATTCAAAGCTTTGGCAAAATGCTAAGTCTTCAAATTCTTTGTGTTTCCTGGTTGTTCATAATTTTAAAATGTTTGATCATTTTATATCATTTTTAATCAAAATACCTGGGCATGGCATGACTTTTATAGCCTAACACTATTTCCACCGTTAAGTAACTCATTTTTCCAGGTTTTATGGTAAAATGTTTTGTTTAAACAGTGATAAATTAACCGACATCTCTGAAAGTGGTCAGAAATCCACAAGAGTGTTCTGGAATTATGGCAGAGTCTGAAGTATAGGCACCTGAGGAAATGGAGCATGTTCATCCTTCTTTCATCACAGGGGGAGTAAGCAGACCCCCAGTGAAAATAACTGTGTGGGCTCAAGTTTACAAAGTTTAGATTTTTCATGTGACTTTCTGAGCCTCCCATAATACAAAACCGTCACGTGAGAAGATCTGTGAAATGCCTCTGGCTTCATTAAGATATGTAGACAGAAATGCCACAACACCAGAGTTTATTCATTTGGTAGCCCATTTCCACCAACTAGAGAAAAGAGTGTGTATTGTCTGTTGTGTCTCCTCCCTGTTTCTGACAGCAGTTTGATTTTTCATCTGAAAACAATGTCTTTTCAAGATTTTGATTGCTGAAAATCATGCTGAATTAATGGCTTTTTTCATGAGGTTTTGTCTGATTATGTTGAAACAATGGCTTTTTGAGATTGTGTCAGATGATGTTGAAATAATGGCTTATTTTCTTGAGATTTGTCTGATTATGTTGAAATAATGGCTTACTTTCTTGCGATTTTGTCTGATTTTGTGGAAATAATGGCCTTTTTCCTTCAGATTTTGTCTGATTATGTTGAAAGAACGGCGTATTTTCTTGAGATTTCATCTATGCAGAAATAATGGCTTATTTTCTTCAGATTTTGCCTGATCATGTTGAAATAATAGCTTTTTATCCTTGAGAATTTGTCTTATTGTATTGAAATAATGGCTTATTTTCTTAAGATTTCGTCTGATTATGTTGAAATAAAGGCTTATTTTCTGGAGATTTGTCTGATTATGTTGAAATCATGGCTTATTTTCTTGAGATTTTGACTAATTTGTCAAAACTTTCAAGACTGTGTTAAAATAAGGCTTTATTTCCTGAAGAGTTTAAATGATTATGTTGAAATAGTGGCTTAATTTAGGGCTTTGACTGATTGCATTGAAATAATGGCTCATTTTCTCAAGATTTTGACTGATCATGTTGAAATAATGGCTCATTTTCTTGAGTTCCCCCACTTTAACTCAAAACCAGGTGCCCCGTTAAAAAAAAGAAAGAAAAAAAAAAAACCCGAAGCTTCCGAATGCTAAATATAGAAAAGACTACTAGAAACGAATGTCATTTAAATAATGAATTCTGCATTAATGAATTCTAAAATTCTTCTCAATTCACATCTTACAACTGCAGTTGCAATGTTTACCCTGATGCTCAATTTAAACGGATCAAAAAAAGTTGCCTTACTGGTTAAAGACATAATAAACTCCACATGGTCTTCTTAGCGGTGAATTACCAATCAGGTGTTGTTGTTGGGTGTTGTTTTGTTGGCTAACGGTATATGCAAATGAGCGAAAAGGGTGCGGTAGAGCTACAGATCACGCAAACGGTACAACAGGCTGGTAATCCTTCTTTATGAATGAGAAAATGCGTTACCACAGTGTCTTTGCAGGACGGCACAACTGGGAGTACGTTTTATTAAGTTGGCCTTAAATGTCTTGCCTGATTGACTACATTTGGTGTAAGCAGAAAATCATGCAAACTGAATGTTTAACCAAACTATTCCTCGAAGGCGAGGCTGCCCCTGTTTCTAAAAAGAGGGACAAACAGTGCTGCCTACGTGGTTTAAATGTATGAAAACAGGTTAAACTGGGTAGAAAACAAGCTTTAATGGTTTCAAGGCTGTAGAGATTGCAAGGAGTACAAGCCAGCTGTAACTTCAGAACTTCAAAAGAGTTCTGAATGAGATATATAGAACCACATGTCAATAAAGCTTACTGGGATACACTGTATACATATTTTTCAATACAACATGGCCATATTGTATGGGGAGCCTGCAGGAACATCCTCTCTTAAACTTAAACAACTAAAAGACTATGATAAGCAGAATGAAGAACACTCACCCAATGCTGGCGCTAAGAAGGTTGAACAGAGCACTGCTGCTGCTAAGGATAGATCCATCTTGCCTGGAAAAGAGGAGGAAGAGAGAGAGAATGTGAGAAAAACACACTTCTTGGAATTCCTTCAAGGCTGTCTTGGCGTTCTGCTGAATTTCACACCCCCACTTCAGGTTCTTCAGAGTGTATGAACCTCGTAACTTCCTGCAGAGCACTATCAGGGAAAACATCTCACTTAAAGGAACAGTTTGATGATAAAAGTAATTTACACATTTTCCCCCTTAACTCAAATTAAGTCCGTCAGCCAACACATGTTTTTCTTTATTTTTTTCCTGAAGATACAGGGCTAATGTAGCTAGCCAGTAATGGAAGCTTATGTGCCACCAATTAGCACTGTGCAAACTGCATGCCACACTTGCCTCCACCTTGCCTATTTGGTTTCTGAAAATTTTTATATATCGCTGTTGTCAGAAGAAAACCCTCATATCTCCAAAACGGTAACTTTACAGGAGAAGAAAAAAACCTACTTTACTTTTAATGTAAGTCAATGGAACCACTTTTGTCAAAGTCTTTTTGAGCTGTTTCTTTTGGTCCATTCATCATGAAATTTACATACAATGTAAAGGACAATAGGCATTTTCAAATTATTTCAAAAACTAAAAAAAACGGAGATACAAGGTTTTCTTCTGACAGTAGCGATATACAAATCAATTAAAGTATTCCACAAAGCTAAAATTATAAAAGCAGCAATCCTGAATTTATCTTATGATCCTTTATCTTCACTAAGATGACAAGATACCATCATCCAGACACCAAATTTGGAGGGTAGGCACTGTATTCTTCCCTCTACTCAGTACTCAAGTGAAATGACCCCAACTGTCCTGATGGTGGAGCTACAGAGCAACATTTTAATTTTTGGCCCATTTCTATTGATCCATGAGACCAGTCTTAAAAAAAAATTTCCCCAGATTTCTTGGTCCACCTCATTTAGCTCTTTTCACGTTGGCAAAAGCTATGAAACCTACTTTTTAAAACCAGTCTTAGGTTTTTTAAATTATTTACATAATATTGGCCTCAAAATCTTAGCAAGAATCTGAAGGTCAAGAATTATTGAAAAACAATACATTTTAGTCAAAAGTATGGCATCCACTTGCCAAAGAGTCCTTTCGGGGTGAAGTTTAACTCACAAAAATGCCTAAAGATCAAGAATCGTGTAGACAACTTCTCATGAAATGACATGATTTGTTAGAAAAGGGTTTGCCTTAAGATCAGCTGGTTTGAAACTGAAACTCGGGACTCTAGCTAATGCCAAAGTGGAGCATGTTTGCAAAAGCTCTGTTTAACACAGATGTTCTTCAGAGACCCCTCATGAAGAAAGATAACAATTGGAGGGCTTCAGAATCTTCAGAATGGCCCCATACTGGCACACATTGGCCTTATTGTGCTTAGACCACAATGATAGCTGCTTGCGGTTATACTGTTTTTTCGTTCTGTTTTTTTTTGCTACTTGATAAAGGCGTGTTTTACAACAGTAGTTGGGCCACAATACAATTTTAATGCTATTTTCAAGTGTAAAATTGCATTGTCTAAATTTCACCACTGTATTCATAATTACTCAAAATAATTCTATAATTCTGAATAATGCTAAAATAAATACATGCTAAAAATTCAATCAAATCAATTTAAATCATGGTAAAATTTGAGATTTACATTGAATATTTCCCCAATTCCACTTTTCAAAATTTCATATATTATTGAGACAAAGTTGTTTAATGTGAAAATGTTTACTATAGAGAAACTCACTGACTATGATTTCTTTACATTGGTGGTGACAGGAACCAGGGGTCACAACATCTACTAGAAATATAGCCATTTTATTTACTATTTATCTACAATAACCAGTGAACCTACAAGTGCCTAATAAGTTTTTATCTCTAATGTTGATAATGTTAAAGTAACGATAAATCTGGAAAGGTTTTCTTGGAGACCAATGAACTCCTTGGAAGTCTGGTTCCTACCACCACTGCTGTGAACAATTCTGGCTCTTTAGAATAGCACATTTCACATCAAACCACTATAAATATGATTGTTTACATCTTAATGATTTCAGCATATTTTTTTTTTCGTAAATATCAATGGAATTCCCTCTTCCACAGCTCAAGAGAACTGATATTATGATCGATCTCAAGTGCTAGGGCTTCTGATGGATAACACTCCAGACAGTAGGTTAACCCAACTGTAGCACATCACAGTATGAAAGCATAACTGCTGTTTTTAAGCTGACCTCTGAAGCCTTGAGTTTGTGTGCTTATCAGCCAGAGCCAGCCTGCTTTAGGGAGTTCACTTGTACAACCCCCAGCAAGCTCCTGACCCTTTCAGCTAAGAAAGGCGAGAGGTGTCTATTTCAAGCCCGGCACCTCGAGAATGGTGGGGCACCAGGCAGACGGGCTACGGCGTGGAGGGGTGGAGTGTTGGAGAGCCGCACTGACGATATTTGGTCAGTGGGTTACACACGTAACTGAGTGTTTCAACTGTGACTGAAGGCCATAAGGCCAGGAAAGAACACCCAGCACATACCAGACTAGTTACATTTCTCACATTCCCTCGCAGTCAACAACAACAGAGCCTCATTCCCAGCACAGAACTTTAACCTACAGTAGCAGAATGCTGTTTTGCTCACTTGGAGGACCTCTTGAGGAAAGTGTTACAATATGTCAGCTGCAAAAAAAAAATATATATATTATATGTTGTACCTGAATGTGCTACAGATGTCTGTATAATCAGACAACATCAGGTGTATCTGATATCAATAGTCAATAACACGAACACACAGATTTTTTACCTTATTGCACAATGTTGCCTCAGGGCAACAAACCCTTTTTACCCTCACTTTACATTGACATGATACATATATAATGACAATGAAAGGCTTCATAGTGAAGAAAATGGTTTGAATAAACCAATAAAAACTTTGTATTTGGTCACACTCTCTTGCTAGGCATTTGTAAACCGCTTTCTGGCACAGTGCCACTTATGCAGGCACACCTGCACTCGAAGATTGAAGAAAAGCAGGTTTGTTATCGAATATCATCTTTCAAAAACATGTCTCACATTTGCACAAGAGTTAATAAATACAGTACTGTGCTAAAGTTAGAGACCACCCCTTATTTTTTAGCATCTAGAAAAAAGAATATATCCTTAACAGAAAACTGCACGGACGCTTTAGGAACTAAATATAATATAAATTTTTTGCCTTTATTGCAGCTTTGATTCTTTTTGAGAGACTTTTTTAAACCTGCAGGAATACTTTTCCACATCTAAGGTTTCATGATCCAAGTAATCCAAAAGACATTCAGTGACACTGAGGCCTGGACTCCGAGGTGTACAGTCCATTGTTCTGAGAACACCATTGGTTTATTTGTTTAATCTGCAAATGTTCTTTTTTTTGTCCTTTCAGACACAGTGTTGAGTTTTCTTCTCACAGTGGAAGGATGGAAAGAAACAAATTTCTCAACTCCATTTTTTAACTCTATTCCTGTTTTGTCACTTGTTTTCCTTTGACTTTCTCCTTCCTTATATACCTTATATCTAACCTACACAAGAATATCTCCTGGAAGAAAAAGTAATAACTTGCACTTAATGGTCATTTTGACAAGACATTTCATAAATAAAGGCCATTTTTGCACAATACAGCATATATGTTGCCTACAAGCAACACTGGGCAACAATGGAATGGATAGAACCAGTCACTTCTGCAAGCACTTGAGAGAATATTGTAGTTATTGTTTTAATTTTTACTTAGAATATTATTTACAACTGTTTTGTTTATTAACAATTTCTAACCAAGATCATTCGTGTGCATGCAATATTACAAGCATGTCCTCATCAATCTGGTCACGTAGCAGTTAGCAAGCAGTACGTTTACGCTACGGCCATCAATGTGTCATTTAGGTAACATGGTTTCATAGAAAAATAAATATAAATAGAATCTATTTTTGCATATTTGTAATTAAAAAGGTAAAAGATTGTAGTATTAGTTCTAAAAATTTCAGGCAAAAAGCCTGTTATTTATATCTCTTTCTACTTTAGCACAACGTTGCCTTTAGGCAACAAACTGAAAAAAACGACCCTTGCTCGTATTATTTTAATAATCAGTTTCATTCTATGCAAGAAAAGTGATGTTTTCAACACATTTCTAAACGGTTTAACCTTTATTTATTCATTTTTACTTCATTCTTTTCTAATCATGCTGGATTTATGGCACTCCAGATGCTCAGGCTATAGGTTTGCAAAACAAGCTTGGGAAACGTAATTTGATATAGTTGGTCACACGCTGCGAAGTACAGCTCCTAAAAAGTGTATTTGTTTAGAAAAACTACTATATTTATTTCCAAAAAAGGTCCCAACTGTGTCCTAAAGGCGTACTGAGGGTAATTCTTCGTGAAGCTACAGCAGAAAACGCACACGCTGCTGTGTAGACGACGCTTAATTTCGATTTTTCCGTTCCACCTTAAATGGTGCAGCAGCTCGTTCAATCTGCACGTTCGACAGAGTGTAACTGCTGCGCCGTTTTAAGGTGGGACGGCGAATTCGAATAGACACTCCAGTTCTGTGGTAAATCAAGTTTTTTTGTTGTTAAACAAGAAACCCGTCCGAACCAGACGACAGGGAGGCAGACGAAACAACTGGTTTGGAAAAAAAAACAAAAGTCGAAGGAAAACTTACCAGTTAGTGCAGCACCAAACGCTCAGTCGGGTCTGGTAAGAAGTCTGAATCTGGTGGAGGAGGAAAAAAAAGGAGGCAAATCACAACGTTTAGCTGAGTTACCTCAACTTTGCTCGCGCTCGATATTAACTCTTCAAGCTCTTGTTGGTGCTGAGCGTTAAGTGCTCTCTGCAAAACCCAGGAGCGAATGAATTAGCCCAGATTAGCTCAGTTATTCCTCAGTACCTCAAGGCTTAACTGCTAACGACGCTGCAGCTCCTTCGGATCTAGTCCAAAGCAGTGCCCCCCGACCACAGAGAGAGGGAGAGTAAAGGGGGGAGAACCAGTGCAGCCAGTATGCGGAAGTCTGCTGAGCCCGTTTTACCTTATGTGTGCCTAACGAGACTGAAATGTATGGAAGCTCATTTCCGCCACTGGAGGAAAACATGTAGCTCTTTACTAAGTTAGAATAATGAGAATTTTCCACAACTGTAACTTAGTATCTCCTAGTTATGGCGTAGCATATCATTATAGTAACTTGCTAACTCACAATAGTGAATCTATCTCATAATTATGCCTTGGTGTTCAATAATAATGAGAAAGTTTCTCAACTATGACGTAATATCTCATAATAATTACTATCTCAAAATAATGAGAAAATTATTCACAGCAAGAAGGTCTGTGTTTGATTCCCTGGCCGGGTAACCAGGGTCTTTTCTGTATGGAGTTTGTGTGTTTCCTCCCACAGTCCAAATGCATGCAGTCAGGTGAATTGGAGATGCTAAATTGGCCATGAGAATGTGTATGTCTGTGTGTCTGCTGGACTGGTGACCTGTCCAGGGTGTCTCCTTCGGCCCAGTGAGTGCTGGAATAGGCTCCTGCACTACAACCCAGAAGGATGTGGTTCAGAAAATGTATGTATGTGCTTGTAGTGTCAGATTTAATACCATGTTCCTTGAACATCTGTAAACATCCTCTTATAAAAAAAAGCCCTGTAAGTGTAACAAACTATGCAATTTTTATGTCGTTGTCCACTACTTCAATCATCTCTAATACTTTTGCATCATAAAATATTCCCCTAATCCTGTCTTATACTAATCTGTATTACTCATGTACTGTCATGCCATAAAAAAGAAAGGTTGAGCTTCATAATATCAGTCTAATAAGAATCCAATTGAAATTCTTGTAAAAAGAAACTTCAATCACTGTACAGATTTAAACATAAGTAACAAATATGTTTAAGACATCTAATAATAAATAGATGTGGAAAATGTGTGAACAAACTTTGAACAAACTCACTTGACATAGTCAAAAGGGGAATGCAATCAACAAAAAAAGACAAAAGCCCCCACCCCCCTTGTTAAATCCCCATTCCCCTGGTTAAATCCCCATCCCCGTTTACATTCCATTTGTAGGTGATCTCATCTAAGATGTGACTTACTGGCATTTTGCCTGCTCTGAAAAGGCTTCTATAGGCTAAATAAATAAGTATAGGTATTTATAACCCCCGCCTCCCCATCCCAGTCTGATGAACCCACCATCCCCCTTGAAAATGTTTTACAATCCAGCCACTGTTACCAACTGTGCAATGCATTCCATGCCTAAATGCATGTCTATTTCTGTCCACTTGGGGGCACTCTGAGACCACCTTGGATTGTACAGTCAAATGCAGAAGTATGAAATTACATATTTTGTTGATTTTCTAAGTGATAAATAAGTAGACATCCTCTATAGAGAACACACTTAAATATAGCATTTTCTGCAAATTTTAGTCTCAAATGTGCCATGACATTTGCACAGGCCACATTTTATGCTTTATTTTGTTTCCTGATATGTTAAATTCTGCAAAAAACAGTAGTTGTGCATTAAAATGTGCAGAGGCGTGTTCTCCGCAGAGGTGCTAACTTATTTTCACTTAGAAAATCAACAAATCATGTAATTTGACTGGGGTGCGCAAACTTTTGCATACAATTGTAAATTTATTTTTTAAGCTAGAACCACAAAACTTTGCAGGCTCATAGAGCCTATACAGGAACAGTGTGCTTGTGCTCTTTGGACCATATGCACATATGGTTTTGTACAGCGTTTGTCCAAACACAATTTTTTATCCCATAGGAAATCAATGGTGAAATGTTGAGAACTACCGCAAATTATGTTGTAAGGCACATCTCTCATACTGGCCCTCATAGACATTACATACAGACTCACGTACATACTAGCACACATATAGACACACACACACATACTAGCAACCACCTGAGATACCATACCAATGGCCTAGCAACACTTTCAATATCTTAGCAACCACCTGGGATACCATACCAATGGCCTAGCAATACCTTAGCAACCTCATAGGATAACATTGCTGTGGCCTAGCAACACGTTCAACATGTTAGCAACCACCTTGGATTCCATGGCAAAGGCCTAGCAACATATTAGTAATCACCTGGGACAACCCAGCAACACCTTAGCATCCACTTGGGATACGACAGCAATGGCCTAGTTATTATGCCATTGCTATGGTATCCCAAGTGGCTGCTGATGTGTTGCGAGGACCTATCACCTGGGATTTTATAGTAACAAGTTCCTTTGGGGACTATTAAAATACATTTTAAGATAAAACTATCATAAAAGAATGCGTCAGACACCAGGCTTCACAAATCTAACCATTTCATGTAGTAACCTTCTGTGAGGGAGCTTTTAGAGGCATTAAACTCATCAGACGTCTGGTTCCTATCACCACCACTGTGATAATTCTGACTTGGCAAGTTTATTTAGAATGGAGCATTTCACACCAAACCACTCTGAATGACTTTGTTTACATCTCCACCTTTTAATTATGCAGAGTTTTTGAAAAATCAGTGGAGTCTGAATTCTGCTTTTAGCTGCTACAAACTCTAATTAAAGTGTAAACAGGACGAGTACACAATGTCAAAAGATGCCTTTTGCAAATACATTTTTGAGAACTGAATATGAAAACAAACATGCTGTATGTTATTTGTAAATCAAACAAACCATTTATTTATCTTTTACAGTATGTAGGAATATGGCTATGGCTATGACTGGGTCAACATCAAGTTAAGCTTAGAGTAAAATCTTTAAAATTTTCAGTTACTAAAGAGACTTTAATGCAAACCAGTTGAGCTATTTTTATGTATAAAGGTGTGTTATAAACGTTTGGGCCCTCTGGCAGGCCCTGGCCATTTAAGGGGTTAAAGCAGTATTTCCATAGTTAATGAAGACATAAAGTATCCTGAACAGTGGCATAAAGTGGCTCTCCACTCTTCTTTCAAACAAATCCCCTATAAATAAAAAAGAAAGCAGTGATTAGTAAATTCAGTTTGACCTGTATTCTTTTTAAAGCAGTACAAAAAGACAATATTTGATGTTTATCCTTATGAACTTTTATTTAACCATTATTGTAAATATACGCTCATTCCAAATGTGAAGCCTGCAACACCTTCCAAAAAAGTCAGGACAGATGTGTGTTTAGCACTGGACTACATAACCATTTAACAACACTTATGTGATTGTTTGGTACGACGGCGTTTTAGGGCCACTGTTAATAAAAATAAAAATATTAGACTTCGGGAATGAAGTCGTAATTTTTCAAGAAAAAAGTCGTACTATTTTGAGGATTTGGAGGATAAAGTGGGCTTATCTGTAGCGGGGCTGCCATAACGCGTTGGGGTCTTGGTTGCTGTACTGGCACGCTGGAGTTCCACTCACTCCTGTCTCTTTGTGGATCGATCATTTTGATTATCATTCTCACTGTCTGTGAAACTTCATGCCCTCTTTGAATGGTACAGAGATGTAGCCACTGATAGCCATGTAGACGACCCTGCCTGCGATTCTCCTTCAACAATACAGACAGACAGTTTCCTCCGAGTCTGTTTGGCTCTTCATTCTAAATGAACACAGTTTCCTGCACAGCCATTTCAGCCGTTTCTTACACTAATAACAGGCGTAATAATATGACTTCTTTCACGGAATAGTACGGCATCTTTTCTCAAAATATTGCGACTTTTTTTGTCTAAATATTCAGACTTTTTTCTCTAAATATTTCGACTTTTTTCTCGAGGCACTATGACTTTTTTCTCGAAATATTATGACAAGTCTACTATTTTTTTTAACAGTGGCCCTAAAACACCGTCATAGTTTAAAGACTCCAAAATTGATCAAGTTTTGAGAGCAGATTTGTTTTGGAATTGTTCTGTTAGTCAGCTGCATAACCATATAGATTACAGATGTAACCTATGCGACAGGCAGTAAGTGCACCCCCATACCATGACAGACCCCGGATTTTGAACTTTATACTGGTAACAATGTGGATCATCCTTTTCTTCTGCTAATGAATCTAAGCTCTGTGTAAAATTAGGGGACATCAAGAGAGGAGAAAATGAATGTAGCTACGTTTATCACGATAACAGCAGGCTATAAAGAAGAATGAACGGTGCCACAAGCAGCTGATTAAACTGCTCTTGGCATTAGCTGGCTATTTAATGCAGCTGGTTACAGAAACATTAGCTTTGGGAACCTCATGTTTTGGGGGGGTGGGGTTGGAGGTCTCCTTTCCAACTGCACAATAAGCAATTGTTTTTTTGTCCAATGATCCGGTGAACTCATCTCAAAGAATATCATATGTCATGCATTATTGTATTGGCTGTTTAATAAAAGTGGTTCCACAAAGTTCTTGCGACTGGGTTTTGGAAAGTTGCAAGCAACTTTTGTTGCTTGGAACCTACATCAAGTTTCACTTGAGTTGCGGTCTGCTTGACATTATGCAACTCAAGTGCAATTTAGTTTTATGTAGGTTCCACCAAGTTTCACCTTGTAAAGCCAGCCTAAGAGAAATAGAAGTGCTGGTTTACACCCCAGATTTAGACTTTGTTTCCAAGTTGGAGGAGAAGGTCAGTGTGGACAGTGAGCTGCTCCAGAAATAGGCTGTAATCACAGGGTGAGGTGAGCAGGTGTGCTTGTCAGATGCTGGAGCGAGGTACAGACGAGTGTGTGTGTGTTTGAGAGCACTGGTCCAGTATAATACTAGTACCTACCGGGCTCTTGGTTGAGTTCTCTCTGTAAAGTGTTAAATAGAGCATTCTTTTGACCTTTTACTCTTACATGAAATGTTCATACAAGAAAATAAATGTAAATCCACTTGGATATTTTAAATAAATATAATCAAATGAATTATTTTCCTTGTTACCAGGACTGGCATCAGGGGGTCATGTGACCCACTAACTAATCTTCATGCTCCACCAAACCAATTACTTTTTATATGCTTTTACAGCAGCACACAGCAAAAAACAAAGTGAAAGTAAACAAAAAAAAAAATTAAACATTGATTAACACTGGAGGATTCGCTTGCATCACTTTCGTTT